TTTTTGTTGAGCCACAGATTCGAAATATTTTGAAAGATACACAGTTTGAAAACACTTTAACAGGTATTGAAAAAACTGCTTGGAATGATTTCCGTCTGGTGGTCACTAATTTCTTGGGAAATAGAAAAGCTGACAACTATAAAACCCTTGTCAAAAATATGCTGTCATCGTATCAAAAGATGGGCTGTAATATGTCTCTTAAGATACATTTCCTACACTCACACCTGGACTTTTTTCCTGACAATTGCGGAGCCGTAAGTGATGAGCACGGCGAACGTTTTCATCAGGATATTTCAACAATGGAAAAAAGGTACCAGGGAAAGTGGAATCCTTCCATGTTTGCAGACTACTGTTGGACTCTTGGTAGAGATGCTCCAGAAACGATCCATAAAAGAACAGCAAAAAGACAGCGCATATAGTGATTCTTATAAGTATATGAATCTTGTTACTTTTTTTAATATATCCTTAAAAATAAAAAGTTTTTTTTCTAGACCGCAACTAATTTTTTTATTTCATTGTCATTTTTGGATTCAGCACCCCAAAATTAACAAAGAAGTGCACTTTTTCCACAAGATACAATTAAAAAACTAAAATTTGTTGTCCAGTGTAACCAGTCATTCCAAATAGTCCCTTTACAAAGCTTTGGGACAGTGAAGTTATATTTGCATAATGAAATAGCTTTAAATATTCTCACACCTACATATCTGTTCTCAAGAGAAGACTCTAAACAAAACTGATCATACGAGTATTATTAAGCATGTACGGATTTGATCTGATTTAATTCTCAGGTAAAACTAATACCTGGAGTGTCAAATATTCTTCTTCTTATTTACCTCCTCATTTGTAGTTTACGACTACCTGTAACTCTATAAAGTTGTTGCCTTGTTCACCCAGATTAGTCAACTTTCAATATATATGCTTTTCTCATATTTATTTCTGTGGATATAATGGCATATTTCGTATTCTTTATTGTTAGCAGCTTTGTGAACCAGACCATTGAAGACTTCTGATATACTTCTTGGTTTCTAATGTAAATTTAATGGCAGCTATTTACACGTGGGAATAGTATCATTTTGTATTTATAGACTTACTATTAGTAAATGAAGTAGGAACAAAAAATTGTATCTAATGTTCCAGAAAATTATTTTTTTCTGCATTCATTTAGATATAATTATTTAAGCAGATAGTGGTGATACTAGCTGGGGGCACAAAACTGTCAAAAGGTTACGGAGTGGTCTCTTTTATCTCCTTAACTTATCCAAATTGGTGTTAGCACTTATTTGTGCCTTTATTAACTACCAATTGAAATGAAAGGATATACAGTGTGTCCCAGAAGTCGACGTCAAGCCGAAACCGGGTGATAGGCAAAGTCATAACAGCTATCATAAAAATATTTAAAAAAATTTTATGTATGTTTTTTGAAAATTATAGGTCTTTGAAAAAAAATATAGAAATTTCACACCCTACGGCAGTCTGTCAACTCCTGTTACTACAAATATTAACTTTTTTTGGATTTTATTTTTCCAATGTAATGATGGATAATGCATCTTCAAACTGGTGTCTCAACCTTACTGCCAACTTTTCTCGTTCAGGAAAAATTGCCACTTATTTCCCAACCAAGTATTCCAAAGTAAAACTTTGCTCAACTTTAACTGGCTATACTGGAAAAAATGTACTACGAGAGTTTGGCAAGTAACCTTAAAAGTTGGCGCATTTAATAAGGATTCCAAAATGGTATAACACTTAGAAGATTACTCGTTAACTTATGCACAATTTTTATTTGAAGAAAAACTGATGAAAATTTTTCAAAATTTCCTAATTAAACAGAGATTATCAAAACGCACAAGGACCCTTAAGGATAACTGTTTGCACAACAGTGGGCGTCAAAATGCTGCTGATGATGATTTACCTTTACAGCAAACGCTCAAACTGTTTTCCTTCAGCCGCAATACACGCTCGACATCTTCTTAAAAAAGATCGGGTTATTAAACGAGCGAATCCACGGTTATTAACAAACTCAGCTGCTTCCAATAGTCTTTGCCGTAGCTCAGATACATTTTGAATCGGCTTGAAATACACTTTTTCTTTTACAGTTCCCCAGTAAAAAAAATCTAACGGATTCAAATCTGGTGACCGGGCTAGCCACGGTACTGTACCAGACCACCCTATCCATCTGCCTGGAAAGTTTTGATCGAGATACTCTCTCACTGAGAGTGCATAGTGCGCTGGGCAGCCATCATGCTGAAACCACATGTCCCTGTAAATACTCAGTGGCACGTCCTCCAACAAATTTTCTAAATGATTTTGCAAAAAACCTAAATAAACCTCAGCAGTCAAAGTCTCTGGGAACTCAAACGGACCGATTATTTTACCATTTAAAATTCCTGTCCAATGGTTTATCTTGAAGCGATATTGAGATTTATCTTCTCTCATCAAATGTGGGTTTGCTGCGTGCCACTCGTGTAAGTTATGCAGGTTCATGTACCCATCTTTCTTAAATGTGGTCTCATCTGACCATAACGTTTTTTCAAAGAACCGTGGATCTTCCCTGCATCTTTCTAACATTGTGCGACATCCATACCATATACAGCGTGTTCAACCTCTCCTGCCTCGGGATTATGAGCCCCGAGTTGCTTTTTGTCGCACAATGTTAGAAAGACACAGGAAAGATCCACAGTTCTTTGAAAAAACTTTATGGTCGGGTGAGACCACATTTAAGAAAGATGGGTACATGAACCTGCATAACTTACACGAGTGGCACGTAGCAAACCCACATTTGATGAGAGAAGATAAATCTCAATATCGCTTCAAGATAAACCATTGGACAGGAATTTTAAATGGTAAAATAATCGGTCTGTTTGAGTTCCCAGAGACTTTGACTGCTGAAGTTTATTTGGATTTTATTAAAATTCCTGTACAAAATTTATTGGTGGACGTGCCACTGAGTATTTACAGGGACATGTGGTTTCAGCATGATAGCTGCCCAGCGCACTATGCACTCTCAGTGAGAGAGTATCTCGATCAAAACTTTCCAGGCAGATGGATAAGACGGTCTCTTTCAACACCGTGGCCAGCCCGATCACCTGATTTGAATCCTTTAGATTTTTTTACTGTAGAACTGTAAAAGAAAAAGTGTATTTCTAGCCGATTCAAAATGTAGCTGAGCTACGGCAAAGACTATTGGAAGCAGCTGAGTTTGTTAATAACCGTGGATTCGCTCGTTTAATAACCTGATCTTTTTTAAGAGAGATGTCGAGCGTGTATTGCGGCTGAAGGAAAACAGTTTGAGCATTTGCTGTAAAGGTAAATCATCATCAGCAGCATTTTGACGCCCACTGTTGTGCAAACAGTTATCCTTAAGGGTCCTTGTGCGTTTTCATAATCGCTGTTTAATTAGGAAATTTTGAAAACTTTTCATCAGTTTTTTTTCAAATAAAAATTGTGCATAAGTTAACGAGTAATCTTCTAAGTGTTATACCATTTTGGAATCGTTATTAAATGCGCCAACTTTAAAGGTTACTTGCCAAACTCTCGTAGTATATTTTTTTCCAGTACAGCCAGTTAAAGTTGAGCAAAGTTTTACTTTGGAATACTTGGTTGGGAAATAAGTGGCAATTTTTCCTGAACGAGAAAAGTTGGCAGTAAGGTTGAGACACCAGTTTGAAGATGCATTATTCATCATTACATTGTAAAAATAAAATCTAAAAAAAGTTAATATTTGTAGTAACAGGAGTTGACAGACTGCCGTAGGGTGTGAAATTTCTATATCTTTTTCAAAGACCTATAAATTTCAAAACACATACATAAAATTTTTTTAAATATTTTTCTGGTAGCTGTTATGACTTTGCCTATCACCCGGTTTCGGCTTGACGTCGACTTCTGGGACACCCTGTATATTTAGATATGCTAGACCATATTCTGCAGAAATAAATTAAATACCACACATTATATTAATTTATTTTGAATGTAACCAGACTCTATATGTCTGTCATGATAGATATATACAGGGGGTTAATAAAGTATGTAGACAAACTTTAACTACCGAACCCTTGGTCAATTTGAAGATGAAATTTCCATATGAACACGGGCTATGTTTTCAAGCTAGATCATATTAGCACTAAAAGAAATGATGGTATTGTTCTAAAAAATTATAAAAGAATGGAACGTATTTTATGGTAATTAAGTATGCCCTGTGTTGAATCACATGATTTACAGTTGTTTTCAAACCCTCCATGTACGTAGATACGGATAGTTATCCAGTATTTCTTGAAAAAATAGCATGACATTGGTTTGTTTTGATCGCAATACTTTTAATATTCAAGCATTGTGCTTATCTAGACACCTATGACTTATCCGAAAACAATTGAATTAATTTATTTTCACAAGTAAATCGTGGCTATTTTGAACATTTATTGTAAAAAAAACTTTCGATATTGTCTATTGTTGTCGCTCTATTCGAAGGTTACTGTTCAAAACTATTGACCTTTCAAATAAATTTTTTTTCCAAAAAAATACAGGATAATGCTATTTTCATACACGTTCATATTGAGCCTCAGCAACTTGTAAAACATGCAAAATTTATCATAGGTTATACCAACTGTTCAATAGATACGTTTCATTATTCATAGAAATATTTGGAACATTACTCGTATTTCTTTAGTGATAGTGATCTAGCTCGAAAAGAAAGCCGTTACGGACCCATGTTCATATGAACATTTAGTTTTCTAATTAACCAAGGATTCGATGGTTAAATTTTGTCTACATACTTTATCAACACCCTGCATAATAGATGAACATGAGGAGTGGACCAGTGGTGGTACAACGTTCACTACTACTACTACTACTACTACTTCTACTACCACTTGCTGTTGGGATACTCCACAAGAAAAGTAAATGGGTGCTAAGTCTGGAGAACGCCGTGGCATTTGCAATTGCGCCTTTTTACTTGAAAAGGTGAGAGGCGCAACGAGAAGTGATAAATGTCGGCAAAACGGACTTACGTGTGGTCTCATCCATACTATAGGACTCAAAGAAGGTTTTTTGTGATGGTATAACGCCTTTGGTCCAGCTGGAAAGTCCAGATCTTCAAAGAGAATACCTCTTTCTCGGCATGATCGCTTGATGGCTTGATAGCTTGGAAGTCGCTTGCTCTTTTCCGTTGTACAGTACCTGAAAATTAGATCCTACGCTATAAATGGACAATCTTTAAGTATTTCTAGGTTGGTAAGTAAGAGCAAAGGTTTGAAAACGAAGTAAAGTAGTATTGATAATGGTAATCATATCTAAAGCGTCTTGCTACAACCTCTCAGTCGTAAGCTCCAACTCATACCACGGTAATGCTTGCCGCATTTCATCATGTTGGGAAGCGTTGCGTAAAATATTCGTACCAAATGGATTAGTAATTGTACTGCCATCGTCGCACATCTACTTATGTATAGGTAAAATCAAGTAGACACCTATTAATGATTCCTTGGCCTGACTTCATTATTCTGTACCTTCCTCAGCGTCATCTGCCTCACTATTGGCTGAATTTCAGGATATTTGCCTTCGCTTACATGCCTAACAAAGTTGCTAGCAGTCAGCCTCTCGGCAAGCATCAATTCTAGTGGTGTTGCAGTCAACCTTATTACCATCCTGGAGTAAATGAGCAAGAATAACCTCCTCTTCGTGGCAACATACTAAGCTTGCGAACTCTCTGTTTCCTGTCTTCTTGAGGTAGCTGTCGAAACAACGTTGTCCTTAACCTATCCGCACCACTGCCATGTTAATCCAGGTTTTAACGCCTGCAATCAGTCTACTAGTCCATGCAACTGGTCATGACCAGTTGCATTCCTTATCTCCTACCATCTAACAAACGGCGTCTCTCTTTGGCTCCATCGCTCTTCTTATACATTTAAAATTTCCTTAGGGCCTTGGAAAAATGAAGTTTTCTCTAGTAACATATACACCAGAGTCTTAACATTACCGATATCTTAGGTTTTTGAAAAATAAGTGAAACCTAAACAAAACCTAATCCCTAACCTAATACCTCAATCAGATCAAACGTGAACACATCGACTCTAAAACAAAAACAAAACAAAAATAGCACACTCATACAGCGAGTCGGCCATATTTTTGTGAGCGTCTTTGAAATGCTACCGAGGCTTCGCGAGTGCATGCAGATCGTTTTCTGAAAGCTTCCGTTATCTCTTTTTTGTTTTGAACGAAATAAAATGCTTAGAATGCTGAGTACATTTCTTTTCGATGAACGGTGAATACTTGATTTAGTTTTTTTTTCGCCTTTTCGCTGTCGTTTCACCACACATTAGCTTTGTTCTGACAAACATAGTTGTTTCGGAGAAGGAACGTCCCAACTTTCAGGATATTGTGTATAGTGCACATCTTCCTTGATCAGTAAATTAGTTGGCAGGATACCAGCCACCACCAGCAACGTATCTGATCTGATGAGTCTGCGTTTCATATCCATACTATTATTCAATCAAGTCAGACCAGTCCGGAAGTCCATATGATGTTTCAGACCCTTTATTAATGTATTAGTATGTAAGTCAATATAATAGAAAACAAGTATGATTAAAGAAAGAAAAATACACACACAAAGAAGAACATTTGCCTCGTAGCAGAACACCGGGTCACTCGTTTATAATACTATGATGCTTGCCCTGTTCTCAGTTCTGTGTTCTGTGTAAGAAGGACAAAAGGCAAAATAATCAAGGGCATAACCAAGGAACAACCGCGGCTTATCATGGTTTATCACTTAAAATTGCTTGAAGGCTTTCATTTTTCCAAACATCCCTATTTTCTGTCGCTGTCAAAAATGGATGGTTATTTTTGTGGGACGAAGCACGTTTACCACTCTCTATTATCTGTCCTATATTAACATACTTTTTATCAAAGGAATGTCCAGATTTACAATTTTCTAGCTGTGTATCTGCGAGTAAAGTGAAAGAAAGCACTTATCCATAAGTATACGTCTATGATAAAAGTAAAGCTCATTGGCGCGTTCTCATTTCAATTTGCCTGGATCTGTATATGCTTTCGAGCTTCATTTCTAGGCCGCCGTTGATTTAGCTTCATTATCAAGAAAACGGTATTTCTGCTCGGAAATCTCGCTCACACACTCGCTGCATTGCGATCATTGTTTTAGCTAATGCGCTCTCAGGAATATTCTGAATGTCAGATAATTTACTCGGTCGCAATTTACGTATCTGTCTGAAATTTCTCAAATATTTTAGTGGTAGTTATTTAGTCCATTATCAATATTGCAACTTAGATGTCATTAGTATAAATGCACATAATTGAGCTGCAGTCATGGGTATCCTCAATCTTCTCAGCATCCTTGAGGCTCCAAGTTGTGCCCAGTAAAACGAGCTAGTAGTTGGAAAATTGCTCAGCTTCCTACCCTTAGACTCATAGATTAGGATAGCCCGAACGAAGCACTCTGAATATATTTACCCACGGTTCCTACCTAAAGGAGATCATGAAGGAAGAGTACTCGAATACCGGACTTCTCCTTTAAAGAGAAACCCTATTCGCATTGACCTTGCGCTCTCTGAAAATGCCAAGCGGGACTGTTGGAGGCAGGAATTTGTAATGCTCAATACAATGACTTTGCGAAGTAATTATGTACTTAAACTTTTACTCTACGCCAAGTCACAAATAACAAGATTCCAAGCAACTAAATGACAGTACCAGATATTCAACCAGAAACACCTCCGCACTTCAATTTCCAGGACATCGATAGTTAGCACACGAAAAAGCCGTAAAGATATGGCAATAAAGTTATACAACAAACTTCCTGACAGGTTAAAACATACGAACCCTAATGATATCAAGGTGAAAATGAAGTCTAATTAATAAGAGAACATATTATTTTGTTGACGAATATCTTTTAGACAGGAATGTCTGCCAATCTGCCAATAGTGAACATTAATTATTTAGACATTGTTTATCAAGTTCTATATGTGTTATTTTTTTACGTTATATGTATATAATGAATTAGAACGACTACATATTCCAGTTGGTCCAACATCCTCCCAATAATAGAGCACACATTTCCATTCTATATCCCGTAAAATCAAGGAAGTTTTCAGGGTTTCGTGGTAACAATAAAATTTAAAATTTTTCACACAACCCATCTTTTCTGGTGTGACATTACCATCATATGTTCATAGAAAGTACACTTCTCCAAGACAAGCATTTTGGGGAATATAAAAAGTCTTTTCGAATGCCCCTCGTATAAACTATACCTTAAATTTGGTAATGATTTTTACACTTCCACATTCTCTCATGACGTACATCTGTCATCTGTCTACAACGTAACATTTCCGGTTTCATTCACTGTCACGACGTGTAACAAACAATTTACTGTTTCCCCAAAATGTAGTGTTAGTTTTTTAGTAACTTGAATATGTTTTACAATTTTTAATCTGTTAGGGTTTATTGATATATAATTGTAACACCTATGTGATCCGTCGTTAACAACAAACCCTATATGTCCGGTCATTTGAAAATGTAAATCTGTTCTAAATTTTTTCCTATGTTCATAATTGTGTTTTAGCTCTTGAAGATGATAACATAGTTGTCGAAAGCTCAAGATTACCGTCAAAAGAGTTCACTCACAAACCCATTTCCCATTTCAAAAGTGGTACATTATTACCTTCCATCCATTTTATAGCCTTTTTTGAGGTATGGCATGCTGCACCATCTTGCTGAAACACAAAATCTTGGCCGGATGTCAAACATTCTTCCATCACTGGTAAAAGCGATTCTTCTAAAATTGCCAAATATTTGTTTGTATTCATATTTCCATCAATAAAATGAAGTTTTGCTACTCCTTTTGATGACATACTGCCCCAGACCATAATGGATGCTGGAAATTTCACTTTTCTCTTCAGACAGTCAACATGGAATGCTTCATTTTTTTGCGAATAACTCTACTGCGACTGTCACCAACACAGACTTCAAATCGGGCCTCATCACTCCATTGTATTGCACACCATTGTTGAGGTGTCCATTGTCTATGTTCTTTAGCCCATCTATGCCGATTTTTCTTTTGCAGTGGAGTTAATAGTGGCTTTTCTTTGGCCTATAAACAAGTTGTGCAACTTTAGGGTTTTTACTTCACTTTTTTTATAAGAAAACTTACCTTGCAAGTGCTAAATCCCAGTTTGTGGGCCTCTCTTTGAGTTGTGGACTTAGAAATTCTCCTTCCAACAGCGTCACTCCACAGAGCACTTAATTGTAAATATAATTGGCACGCCTGTTTTTCACGATTATTCTTCTTAATGCTCTTCGGTCGGCATTTGTGATATTTCTGTTTTTTACATATCATGGCTTAATATTAACTGAACCAGTTACGTTATATCTTCTAACAATATTTCTCACACTGTACCGCAATAACTATAACAAAGTTGCAATTTCTGAGTTTGATTTCCCAGAATTAAAGAATTTAATTATCAGTAACCGAATTTTTTCACTAATAACCTTTCCTCTACCCATTTTGAAAACCTTAACTACCCAAAACGTATTCTGACAGCTGTGATTAATAAAAACAATTGTCATGGCTTTTACTTTTCACAGCCACCTATGCGTAATAGACTTATTTTGCATTGAAATGAACATAGGTTGATATGCTGTAATTGCAACATGTGTTATGCTGCAAATTTGATTAGGGAGTGATGAAGTTGGTGTTTTCTACTATATATTATCAAAATATTCATTGTTAATATTTTAAACCAATAACACCCTGCTACATTTTTATTATTTGTGTTTGATAAGAAATAACTAAGATTGCAATAGTTGGGCCAACTGAAGTGGAAAGCGGCTCGTATATATATATATATATATATATATATATATATATATATATATATATATATATAATTTCTATGTCCGGTTTGTATTGACTTAAAGTGACAAGACAGTGACATATTAATGAAAATCAACAGTATTTTTTTTGTCATATAGTGATGTCCTAATATTATGTTTTTACGTCTACTTTACCATGTCTTTTGATATTTTTGATCGTTATTTCTTTAAATGACAATGTCCGCAAGGACCAAATGATGAAATAAATTTTTATGAACTATATTTTTTATTTTTGACTCATTCTATGTCCTCTACCGATGGTTTATTGAATACAGCTGATTTCTTCTTCCTCTTCTTCTTCATCAAAGATTTACACAGATCGAATCAGCTGCTACTGATGTTTTATGCTGTGGCAAAATATAACTAATTTCTCCTCTTATGCTTGAGAAATTAAATATCACGTAAATGGAAACAAGCGGTATGCAGACATTGCAAGGCATGTCAAATTATTATAATATACATGCTTCATACTTCATCCTTGGCCAACAGTTATCGATATTGACATACTTCGAGGAGAACCGTTGATCTGTGTGAACCACTTTTTCTGCAGGTAGATCATAAGCCAGATGTCTGTTATTTATGAAAAGAAAAATAAAGGTGATTTGAAGCTACATCCTGCCTTGCCTTCCATATAAGAGATATTCTAGAAAAAATGTAACAAGGATTTTCACTGTCAATTATTACCTTCCGTTCGATGTCTTTAATCAGATACTTCCTTAGATTTTAAATACATAAAATTATAATGCTCAGTCCACGACATGCTGGTAGGCTCAGTTGTTTGTCTACTGGTAAAAATTGAAATAAATTATTTATTCCATAACACATTTTGCTGTGATAACTTTATGATAAGAGTCTCGTGTGTGGATTCTTAGGGTTACCTGCTGGGGATTCATCACGTCAAGCAGCTTGACTTGAAAATGAAAATACTCCAAATGTTAATGCTAGACTCGACTTGATTCTCATATTGCTACGCTTGTCTCGAGGTCAGCCATTTTCAAAGTACTTGATACTTGACGGCAAATTATATTTTTGTTCAACGGAAGACCTTCAGTGATATTTATTTGTACAACCGATGAGCTACACTGTTCAAGCATCACCCTGTACATATAATGCTAATTTGAAGTGCCTCGGAACGGGATCAACTATGGAAGCAATTTGTCATCGTGTCATCATCCCTGTCACCTTGCTGTCATCTCATTTGTCGTTTCGTTTCCAAAAATATGATAATTCGCTCTGATCAAATTAACCGTAGATATGCTGCTGGTATTATTTCCCTTAGTAGTCACCACATCGATGCTAGCGGTGATCGTCTCCATGGCCATCCTGCTCAAATTTTGGCGGCTGAGGCAGCGAGACTGCGACGGCAGGTACGACCAGTATTTTTAGTAGTAGCAGTATAAAGGTCTATTCAGCTGATTTTACTACAAAGCCAGAATAATTATAAACACTTAGAATTAGTAAATTCAAGCCATATGATCCACATCCTCGCCAAGCCATAATTGTACATTTAACAAGTGATTCATAAATTTTGCCTTACATTTTGTCAAAGTATTCTAGTCTTTTGTCTTTGTATTTTATTTGTTATATTCAATCAACCCTTGATGGAATACAGGTTTGTAGCATATGTTATACTTTTTGGTCATTAAATGGAAGTCATCTTTATTTCTGGTATTATGTAAATGATGGTCGACATTTGATGATGTTAAATTATATATATATATTATAAATATATTATATTTTACTTTATAAATGAATATCATTACAAGATATTTGATAAAAATTTTTACATTGAGCCATTTTAATTTGCTAAGCATTTGCCTAATTGGAGTATATTTATCTTTATTGAGTATTATTCTCATGCACTTATTTTGTAAAATCTGCAGTATTTCAAAAATGGAATTATTTGCTAAATATAGAATAGTCGAATAGTACAAGAAATTTGGAAGAATGATGGTATTATAGATAATTTTTCTGCTATATGAAATCAGACATCCAGAAACTCTCGATAAATATCCCACTTTACTACTAATCTTATTTATAACTTTTTCTAATGAATATCAAAAATTAATCTAGAGTCAACAAAAACCCCCAGGTATTTAAAATTTTCTACGAATTCAATATCTTCACCATCAACATTCAGTTGAACATTTGTACATTGTTTTTTTGCGATTAACAAGGCTTTCGTTTTACTTGCATTTAATTTTAGTCTGTTAGATGCTAACAATTTTGGGACAAGCTTCAAGTCTTCATTTATATAAGAGATACCAGCCTGAATATTGTTAGTACTTATATAAATCATAGTGTCATCGGCGAAAATCTGAATTTAGCATTTTTTGACTATGGCAGGTAAATCATTTATGTATAAAATAAAAAGAAGTGGTCCAGGATACTGCCCTGTGGAACACTTCCTGTTATACCATATGCCTTCAATTTACCTAACAAAATATCTCTATCAATCGTTTCAAATGCCCTCTTCAAATCCAAAAATACTGCTATGACAACTTCGTCTGAGTCTATGGCTCTTTTCCAATTCTCAGTTACCAACTGGAAAGCCGTTTCTGTGGAATATTTTTTTCGAAAGCCTGCTTGCGCCTCCACTAAAATTCTGTTTTCTTCTATAAACTGCATTAATTGGTCATGCACTATGGACTCTAATAATTTTTCAATGTCTGGTAACACATTTACTGGTCTCATATCGCTGCATCTTTTAGAATTTTTTAGTTTGGGAACTGGTGTTATTGTAGAGCATTTCAAATTTTCAGGAAAAGAACTGCCTCTCAGTGAACAATTGATCCAATTTAATACAGGATATCCCAAAATTTCGAATCAGTTTTTCGGCACGTTTTTAGTAGTGATTTCGGCACAGTTGTTATTTGATTTTAAACTGTTTACTTTTTTCTTAGATAATTCAATGATACGCTGTGAAATTTTGAAAGTGTATGCAACATTTCCCCCTGGAAACTGATTTTCATATAGTCAGGTGCAGCATTGGCAATACCCACAATATCAACAATACTTTCCAAAAAATATCCACCAAAGAATTTGTTTCGGTACCGTTTTCGAATTGAACTTGATTTACACAATCATGCGGCTTCGAATTGATCAGTCTTTTTAAAGTCTTCCACATCTTTACACTGTCGCATTTGTTATTATCGATTTGTTTATCGTAGAATTTCCTTTTTTCTTCTCTAATTACATACACACATTTATTCCTAAGCGTTTTATATACCTCCCAATCATCATTTGATTTTGTGAATATACATTTATTGTATTGCTTGTCTCTCAAATTTTGAGCTCCCTTAATATTCTTGTTATACCAGGGTGTATTTTTTGTCGAGCAAATCACTTTTTTATCAGTTGCAAGCTCTAAACAAGTTTTTATATTTCCTATTATGTTGTCATATACATATGTTTTCCATATTCTCACCAAAATTCCAATAGCAGCCAGCAAGTTCTCGTTCAAGTTTTTCGTACTTAATAGTATTTACGATTTTCTTAATTTTTGTATCAGAAAAATGCCCTACCAAGGGTAGCATTGTCCAACTGTGATCGCTAACTTTAGGTGTATGTACAGCTTTAATCTCTGCACATTCGGAATTTACAATAACAAGATCTAACAAAGTCTCTGATAATGATGTTATTCTGGTACTCTCTTCAATTTTTTGCTTGAACCCATAGTTGTTTATGGTTTCTTTCAATTTTATTGTTTTCATGCTTTTACCATAATAATTTAAATTAAAATCACCTAAAAGTATTATATTCCACATTTCTTCGCATTTTTCTGCAAAAAACGTTAAAAATGTATCCGCATCACTGTTTGGTGAACGGTAAAAAGTACAAAGATCATAACGTTTCCCAAATAATTTGAACAGTATATGTGCATACCAGAATGCATAGCCTAAAGTGGTACAATCGAATAATGTGATCTGTATTTTGTGGTAAACATAAATCACTACACCTCTAGTATGTCTGGAGTTGGAGTTGCATCTGTAGGTTTTATAATTAGTAATTTGTAAATTACCATCAGTGATGTCTTCTGTAGCATGTGTTTCGGTAAGACATAATACAAGTGGTTTTCTCCATCTTAAAAACTGTTGAACTTCATCTATATTATTCAGGACTCCTTGTATGTTTAAATGGTATATTGAGTTATATTCATCACTTACAGATTTAGCCACGTCTTGCAAATCTGAGCTTAGTAGTCGCTATTCATTTGCATAACTAATTTTTTCCCTCACACGTTCAATTTTCCTTTTATATACTTCAAAATTTTTGTCAAATGGTCCATGATTAATAGGTAATCCTAGATTAAAATCCTGGTTTGCACTTTTACAATTTGGACAGCATTTGTACATTTCACTGGTACTACAGTTTTCTGTTGAATGTCCTTCTAATCTACAAGTAATATATCTTCCTGGTTTTGTGCAGTATTTAGCTGTGTGGTTAAATCCGGCACATTTATAGCATCGCAAAACATTGATGTACTCGAAAACAGAGCAAACAGATATGTCGATAAAAATAACACCCTGATTCATAACACACTTAAAAGTCACAGCATCTACTTCTAAAATGATGTTGAGATAATTAGACATGGTGGTACTATCTTATTTTTTACTTTATGAATGAATGTGATTGCAATATATCTGACAGTTTTCTCATTGAGCTATTTCAATTTGCTAAGCATTTGTCTAATTGTAGTATCTTTATCTTCATTCAGTATTATTCTTATGCACTTGCAGTCTAACAGTAGAATACATTTTTGAAATGATAGTATTACAGATAATTTTTCTGTTATACTACTCAGACATCCAGAAACTCTTGATAAGTCACTTCACAACTCAGGTACCTTGTTTATAACTTTCTCATAATTAATATCAAAATGCTAACCAATTCGAAACAAGTTTCAAGTCTTCATTTGTATAAGAAATACTAGTCTGAATATTATGTTTGTAGTATGAGTACTTATATGTATAAATTGGTGTCATCGACAGAAATAAGAATTTTGCATTTTTTGACTATGGCATGCAAATCGTTTGTGTATACAATAAAAACAATTGGTCCCAGGATACTGCCTTGTGGAACACCAAACGTATTTTCATGGAAAAGTGTTATTAAATTTTGTAACTTGCATCCTTTTAGGGAAATAATTCTTAAACCCACCTAAAACACTTCGTGATATTGCAATTAATATAACCAAATATCCCTATCAATTGTTTCAAATGTTCTTTTAAAATCAAAAAATACTGGTATGACAACTTTCTTTCAGTTTTTGACTCTTCTCCAATTCTCAGCAACCGACTGCAAAGCCGTTTCAGTGGAATATTTTTTGTGAAAGCCTGCTTGTGTTCTCAGTAATTGCTCATGCACTATGGACTCCAATAATTTTTCCAATGTTTGGTAACCCATTCACTGGTCTCATATCGCTGCATTTTTTTATTTGGAACTAATGCTATTGTGGATCATTCCAAAGATGAATTTAGTAGTGATTTTAGTATTGTTGTTGTTGGATTTTGAACTGATAATTTTTTTCTCGGATAATCAATGACTATGAAATTTTGAAAGCTCATGCAACATTTCTCTCAGGAAACTGATTTTTACATAGTCAGGTGCAGTATTGACAGTACTCAGAATACCAATACTTTCCCCATATTATTCATTTAGTTTGTTTGCAATCACCAAGGTATTTGTTTACGTACAGTTTTTGAATCGAATACGAAGGAATAGCTCAACTATACGCATTGTTGGCTGCATATCTTTTGTGAAGCCGAGAAGTCTATAGTTTTCATCTGTGAGAAGAAAGTTGGTCGAATAACAAGATCGCATCTGGATGATTGTGTTACATTTTGGATAAATGAGAAAATGGCTTCTTTAAGCTTTTGTTGTTTGATTATATCCCAAGGAAGCCGCCCAGAATCACCGAAATTCCCATCGTGACTGCGGGCGGGCAGGTTGTCAACTCTGTAGAGGAATTGGACATGCACGTCGAGTTCTTAAACGGTCAGCTAGAGGAAAAGCAGAAGGATTTGGAGGAGGACAGAGCCAAACTGCTTACCACAGAAGAGAATCTTAGAAAGTAAGTCACAATCTACATGAAACCTTTCCACTTGAGCCCAGATATCTGAAATATTAAACCATCAAGGTTTTGGATTGTTGTAAATTTTCGTAGAGAGATGAATTATGATGTAAGTTTACTTTCTTTTCTGTACAGGTTAACAGATGCCACAAACGAAGTCAAGAAGTATTACCTGAAGCTTAAGTCAGAAATAGCAAAAGCCGATAGCGAATGCAACATTTTATCTTGCCAGGTCAAGGACTTCAAACGTAGACAAGAACGGCTGAGGGAGGAAGTTAACGAAAATGTAAAGTACTACACGGAACTGTTAAGCAACATCGATGGTACCAGTAGCGAGGGATACGAAGTTGTGAAGAAGGTGTCCACTAGGAATAGTTGTTCGCGATCTTTCGTCGATGGAATGGGGACTCTCATTAAGGGACATTGACACTTAGGCCGGAATTATCTTACTAAATCTTGGTATATATCACAGCTCCACAAGAATGGTACTTGACTATACATTAGTACAAAAGTAACATTTGTAACATCACATATGGCGATTGGGCGCCATCTTGGATTGTTTTAAATGGAATAGAATATGATTACGCCATAGTGTATAAATTCAGATTCTTTCAATATAGTTGACTGGTGGGCTGCCAGAGTTGAGCGTTATAACTCAATAACCAATTATGAAATATCAATTTCCTTTTCCTGGAAGAATCTATTTAAATTTTCGCAAGAATATGAGACGTTCCTTTAAAAAAATGTCAAAATATGTAAAATTTTTCGAACGGATTATTTGATTGCACATTCAGATAGATCCCCCAAAAGAAGAATGATGTAACATACTACAGCGTTTAAGCCACCATTTTGAAAAACAGTAAATATATACTCAAGCATTGTAAAGTACTTATATGGAGCTTCAAAAAATCACCCACTATTCTATTTGAAAAATGATCTAAGATGGCGTCCAGCCGTAATCTTGAAGCTTTCCTCTACCAATTCTTGTCTAAACTATAGTAATCATGCATTAATACCATCATCTTGAAAATCACTGTATATGGCTGCTCCGTGAGATGGTGTCGACGATGTCACCATGGGGTCTCAGTGAGAAGGGCTCTAAGGGTGCCATGGCGGAGTTTTTAGAAAATTAGGCAACCCAAATGACACATAAAATGTAATAATCTCAATAATGCGCTAGCCACAGAACATTAGGAAATCGTGCTGTTCCACGAGTTTTACTCCTCTTTGTCAAGAGAAGATTTACATCGTGTGCTACTATCACTCAACGTCTCACATCGTTTTTTTTCAGCAGCCTGTTTGAAGAAGTAGTCCGTTTGATTGTTTCATGACAGACTTAAAATCAATATATTATCTATTTTTTTTGGCAAAAATGCATTTTTATGCATTTTTCTACAATCGTGGCTTGTTAACAAATCATAGTACAGCTGTAAAATTGTTTAAGAATATTCCACCTTGTAGTAATTGCTTTTTACTATTTTGTTCAAAAAATCTTTGCTATTTTTGACAACACGGTTTGCTGCAAAAGCAAAGCATATTTGAAGCAACAAGAAATGATAAGTAAAAATAAATATCTCAAATCTACTATAAATGTGAAATATCTGAGTTGTACCATTATTTGTAAAAAACTTACTGTTATAAAAGAAATGCATAACAAATGCACCAGATATGTATTTTTGGACAAAAACTGGTAATATTATTTTTCATCACTATGCACACCATGAAAAAGAACACTCTTCAAACATACTGAAAAAAGTAGTCTACGATTTCAACCAGAGACCTCGAGACTGCAGTCACTGTTCCCTACGCTAGGCTCTATTCTTGGTTACCGAAAACGAAGAGAGCGGCACGTCACTGCTAACACGGCATCTCCATGAACACGGCGGCATGATCACGCTCCAAATTTGTTAGTTCAATGGAACATCACGCCTGAAGTAGCGTGCGATGTGTCTTGCTCTCCTCCTTTTTGGTAGCAGGATATACTTTCCTTCACGGCGGACAGTGTAAATGGGCTGGTGCTGCGCCATGCCTTGGAAAAGACGGTTGTGCCCAGCATATGATTATCTGATGTTTTGAGGCTACTACACCGGCATGACGATTTTTTAGATGGATTTCAGAATTGCTTCAAAATCGTAAATGAAAAATGTGTGGCAAATGAAAAATGTTGTCATAAACTAAATAATACAAACTGCTCTTTGGTAGCAGTTTGAAAGATTATTACATTTAGAAAGAGCCGTATGTCCAAATGATTCACCTTTACCATTTAATGACCTTTCTCAACGAGAAGTGAATTTTTGCCATTGAAATCAGTTTTGATGTCTCCTTCCCGTCTGTTAAGTGTGACACTGCTTTGTATGAGGACTGATACAGAAATATGGTTCCCTTCAGTTTTTGAAAGATAAAACATTGTTTACTCTTATAGAAATTTACACCACTGGAAAGACGGATCTTTGGTCAAATTGCCTAAAGTCTCGCAATTTTTTACATGGTATTCCAATGTTTGTTTTCCGATGTCATAGAGCCGTTGATGAAGCGTTTTACCTCTTCTTTGTCTAGGAACATTTGAGTGTTGAATGTTAGTTAAACTAGAGGCAAAACGCTTCCTCAACAGGTTGACGATCGAAGTATATGATATTGGGATACAAACATTTGAATGCCATCTACAAAAGTACGGGGATGATGGAGAAAAATAACGCCAAGTTTCCCCTTTCCGCTGATATAAATTTCTATAAGAGTAAATAATGTTTTATATTTCTAAAATTGATGGGAACCTTATTCTTGGATCAATCCTCGTACATAGAAATTCGGTAGGACCAACTGTCAAAATTATCATATATGTATAACGGCTGAAATTCAGATAGAATTAGATCAAATAGGTGCTATATAGGTATATATGTATATATACATATTTCAAGAGGTTGGGTGAGGAAAAGCCGTCATACTCGTACGCAATTTTTTGGCAGGAACTGGAAAACTGTGTGAAATTATAATTTGGGCTGGAAAAACTTACAGAAGCTCTTGGTAAATAAATCAACGAAAAACAGTAAATATATTGTAATGTACCTGGTAAAACACCTTTTTTTGTGGAGCTGTGAATTTCATAATGATCGCGGAAGAGACATACGAGGTGGACGCATTTTTACGATTTTCTGACACGTTTCAAAAATTAGTAAAGCTCAACTGAATGGTGGAAAATAATCAAATATTTCGATTAGACTCGAATTCTTATAAAGGTGACAGTTGATCCACAAACGTGAGTCCACCACAAGCTTGTAAATATTATGGAAATACATGAAAATTAGCAATGTTTATTTATCTGTCATTTCCATGTTATCTACTTCTCAACTCAGGGTTGAGTTAATTCAGTGTCATAGTTCTAGAGGAATCTGTCTCAAAATATGTTACGTATTAACGCGATGTCTCGTAAAAGACAATTCACGATTAAACACCTCGCTCAGAAATGCGACAGATGCATCCGAAAAGTTTGTATGAAACGCATTGTTTCTCTCCTTATATAGAGTATTTAGAAACTGTCCAACCCGAAAAATACTTCTCATACAAACAAACGATGAGCCAAAAGGTTTTGAGTGAACAATCTTATGGAGACCTTGGGCCTGACCACGAAAATGCCGCTCAAGGTGATTCAGAGGTTAACCTAAACAATGAAGTAGAACAGTATCTACATACTGAAATGACCTTCACCATGACCTTGGAAATTTCAAATAGAACCGTATTTTGTGGCCCACGGCTGAGTAAGACAGAAAAGTTTGTTTGTACGTGGAATTGGTTAGCCTTTGAACCATTTTGAGCTCGTTCTTCAAGTTGACCTCTGAACGACCTTCAAGGTCGAGACGGGGTCTGTAAATGACCATGAAAACTACAGTCAAGGTCATGGTAAATACAGTTGATCTTTGAAAGGCCTTGAAGGTCCTATACCACGTCATAATCATGGTCGTCGTTTGACATGTTCTCTCAAAACGCTGTAACTTTTGCGTTGATGCTCAAGTAATATTTCATCAGATAGAGAAGTGTCTTTGAACACTCTGTATATCTGGCTTGCTCTGTATTGTGTCGTTAGCCTGTGGGCATATGCCTAGGAGTCGGCTTATGGGCCCCCCAAATGCCCAGAAATTAAACGAAATTTAATTTAAAAAATTTCCTATCTACCTCAACAACATGTATCTCGGTTTAGAAGACAGCACTGTAGTCGATAGGAATCAATCCTTCATGTTGCTTTAAACATAGTAATTGCCCCATTACGCGCGTATGATTATTCTAAACAGGAATATTTCTCTAGCACGGCTATACCTTTTGACATTCCTAACATATTTTCGAGTATTGCTGTCAGATTTCCCAATTATTGGAATCCTACTTAATAGTAACTTAAGCTACCACGTTTTTGCTCTGATCTCGTGGTCGTTCTAATAAGAAATTCTGACGCGGTATAAGTCTACACATTGCAGACAATATTGCCAAGATATAATCAAGATATAGCTAATATATCCGAGATATATAACCGGGTCACAATTAATGCCCCTTTAGGGATTCCATTTCAACTAGCTATACCGGAAAACTTTTGGTCAAATTGTTATTTCATCGTTTCTTGGGAAGAGACCAAAGGCTAAGGTTAGGTGTCGAAGATACAGTAAGGCGAACATATTACGTGATTACAATAATAAGATAGTGTCGGTTAGCGTCAAAGCAGAGATGATAGAGTCACGCATTTCCCCAACCATTATCATGCTTTATTGAATCGGCATTAGATATTGAATCAAAAGCCATAACCATATACCGCCCGAATAGTCTGTGGCGTAATGCTGTTATGGGAGATCAATTCAGAGATAAGCTGGATTATTTTGGACGTATTTCTAATTCTAATTGAATATATTACTCGTCTTGTATATTGATTTTTTATTAGCGTCTGTGGCATTGCGGCATGAATCTTACATCGTTCAGTAACCAACAGTAGTTAATCATGGCCAATCAAATGCTTTGAAAGATGTTCAATAAATTCGTTACATTGTTTGTTTAAAAAGCTTCTCTACTACATCAAGGGAACATCAGCCATTGCGCAAGAGAATCGTTTCGAGCTAGAAATTCCGGAAAATGGGGCTTGGTTCGCGATACTTCACTGCCATATCTTGATGCTTTTCCTTACCGTCATCGATATCTAAATGTGTTGCATTACCCTACTATGTTTAGTGAAGTTAAGTTTGCCTTTAATTGGTCGGACAGAATGATAAAACCAGTGGATAAACGTATCATTGATGCATTGCGAGTGCGAATAACTATAAAGGTGACGATGTGATAGTACCTATAAAATATGTTAAGCAAAAGTATACTATACCTAGAGTGGCCATAATTTTTAAACAAAAAGAAAGTACACTTTTAAGGAAAATCACCACTGATACTTAGAGCACTTTTTTGTCTAAATCTACTACGTTTTTAATGGAACAAAATACAGATATTTATGTGTTATTATAATACAAATGCAGCGGCAATATAACAAAAGATTTTTAAAAAAATATGCACGTAAATATTTAGAAGTTAATTTTACTTTGACGTGCTAGCTTGGCCATGAAAATTTTCATTTTCGTACCAGATGTACATTTGGGAACGATGAATTGCCTTTAAAATTTGTGGCTTACTCTTTAGAAAATGAAAGATGTCATCCGCGTAGACTTGCATAGTGGCTTCCAGAGTAGATATCACCAACTACGATTTTTCACTCCAATAGTTATTAATATTTGAGAATAACCACTCAATTGACACTGATCCCGGGCAGACAAAAAAATAACTCACATAGAATTTTTACATTCTTCAATGCATTTTTTGTTCGGAAAACGTCGAGCCATCGGTCTTCAGTAGAAATACTTCTTAAATTCCACTCAGCAATTTGGTCTTCTGTAACGTTCTGTTGTATTCGACTAACTTCATCGAACAGTTCGTCCTGATTCAATACTGGAACTATGAAGTCCTTGAAAGCCTCACACAAAGATGAAATATCCGCCCAAGAAACTTCTCAGGTTAGCCCATTTAAAAAGCTTTTGTACACTTAAATTTTCACTCCAAAAAGTACATTCAGATGTACTTGATACACTGTTAAAGGACAGCAATACAGAGCTTGAAAAGAAAGTACTGTCCTACTTAAAATAGTACATATGGTCACCCTAACTATACCGTACACTAGCTATCATTGAACAGTGTACAATAACATTCTCAGTAATCATTTTCAAATACTATAGAATCTCATCAACATTCCCAACAAGCTATAAGCATCGTGCTACAAAGGTTAATGGTTCCCTTTTAACGTACACTAAAAGTGCTACACATCCGCGGTAACAAGTTTATCAGTCAAAAGATACGCGGCGCAGCGGTTTATCGAATTAGTCATAGAAATTTTTATCAACTAAAAAGTTCACCTTGAAATTGTGGAATGCTTGTCTTCGGGTTTCGGAATCTGCTTCGTCACGTAGGCTGCCGCATTGCCATTGACACCTGAAACAAACGAATTCAGTCAGTTTTTGAACAATAAGGACGCTATTTGATGGAAACATTTCACTTTGGATGGGTATTTCTACAGTGTTCACTTGGAGCGCTAGCATTGCACCCTACGGGACGAAAATGCTACTTGGCAATCAGCGAAAATAAGTGGGGTTATCAAATCTACGTCAGTGTCTTACTAATTTTTTATCCACAGAACTTTTAACTCATAATTTTTTCCTGGGCTACAATTAATAGTAGGTTGAGACAACCCAGTATTCATTTCAAGCAAAACTGGCAGGGTATGCTCAAAAAAGTAAATTTTTACATTTGACTTCAATACGAAAACCTTTACTAAAGTTTGACTAATTACTGTGACAAAAATGCACCAGACTGAGTCAGCAAATGACCTTGAAAATTAGCTATTTAAATCTCTTTCAAAAATAGAACAGTTGTAGATTTTTTTACTAAAAACCGAATGATTCCAACTTTTGTCATTGAAGGCAAAATACCACAAATAGAAATAATAAGTGAAGCTGCCTTTTATATCCAAATTACAACTTTGTAGTTTCTGAAATAGCTTTTTATTTTAGCAAATGTCTAAAACAGCTATTCATTATCCTTTTTTATTCATTGTTGTATGCAGACATCAAAATAGTGAACAGAACATTATTTTCATTGATTTTTACAACATTCTAATTAAATAAAGAATTAGGAATCATCATTAACATCTCAAATCAACTAAATGAAAATTAAAATAACATATTGTAATGCTTTGGATCCTCACTCAGACTGATCATCGAGTCGTCACACAGACGGACTATTTGGTTGCTAGATGTCTGGACAGATATGCTAAGCTTAACGATTGTTTTCAAAAGCAGTCCAGAAACCAGGATATTACGTTGCCGTGTCAATACCAAAACCTACTTTACCTACTTTAAACTATCAATCCCTACTGATCCTGGCACGGGATCCTTTCACACTCCAGCTTTTGCCAAGAGAAGGTAATTAAGCGGTAATTCAGACCAAGGTCAAAAGCCATCGTGTCAACATCACAAGCGCTCCGACATTTCCCCTGGCAGAAGAAACCGAGCAGTTATTAACATAACCACCTCGACCAGGCAATCCGACTCTGAAACTTCCATAACAACCTCCAGAAACTGGAGGCGTCCCAGCTGCGAATAAGCAATAATCAAAAATAGTAAAGTCGCGAGCCATAAATTAAAATATTAAGGTAAAAAGCATATCATCTTCATATAAATATGGATTAAGACATTCATGATCCTGAATATAGGAATATCATGATTGGAAATCCACTCAGTACAGTACAACAGAGGAAATACCCAGTGATTGCTCACCTTTAAGGTAACCAAAACACTACAACCAATAGCACAGTCATCATCAAGTCATCGTTGGTTGTCAGAGCGGTTCGTGGGACCCTAGCTCTTGAGTCACAGTGTCAGTTTGTAGGTCTGTCAGGTCTGGTAACTCAGAAACCAGACAATTTCAAGGAAAAAAGGCAAGGAAAGGAGAGAAGGAAGGACGAGAGCAAAAGGGACGAAGAGAATCTTTTAAGATAGGCAGCGTTTAGGCATTGTCAAAATCACTTCACAGATTTTGATATGGTCTAAAAATATTCGATTCTTTCTAAAGATTTTGTCAAAATGCTCCAATTCTTGTTGACTGTAATTAGATTGACACCGCGTACTACTAAATCTTAGAAGCAATCGTTATACCCGTTTGCGTATATGATCCTGGGAACCGGTGCCCAGAGGAGGACTGGAATGTATACCATAAACAGGCCTAAGGACAGTCGTGTTGAGTGACATTTATCAGACTTATGAACCTTCTAGACAGAATTCGTGTGCTATAGGGTGGAACTTGCATACAGAATGTGTTTGAGATATTTCGTATGTAGTAGTAATACTAGTTTATGTTTTCTTGATCTTCGTTGCATGTTCCTTACGGCGACTAAGGCTCCTACCCAGTAAAAACCTCTACTGCTGTCTCCTCTTCACACACCATTACTTCGTTGCTGTGGGTATCTATATTATGGCAGTCTTAAGCTTATGTGCCATTGATGTAAGAGAAAAGCGCGCCAAGGTCAGTCATATCGCTCCGTCTTCTTATTAGTAGTTCGTAATAAAGGCAGCAACCCTGACCCAAGTAATACCAGTTTATGTTTTCTTGATCTTCGTTGCATGTTCTTTACGGCGACTAAGGCTCCTACCCAGTAAAAACCTCTACTGGTGCCTCCTCTTCACACACTATTACTTCGTTGCTGTGGGTATCTATATTATGGCAGTCTTGAGCTTATGTGCCATTGATGTAAGAGAAAAGCGCCCTAAGGTCAGTCATTTCGCTCCGTCTTCTTATTAGTAGTTCGTAATAAAGGCAGCAACCCTGACCCAAGTAATACTAGTTTATGTTTTCTTGATCTTCGTTGCATGTTCTTTACGGCGACTAAGGCTCCTACCCAGTAAAAACCTCTACTGGTGCCTCCTCTTCGCACTCCATTACTTCGTTGCTGTGGGTATCTATATTATGGCAGTCTTAAGCTTATGTGCCATTGATGTAAGAGAAAAGCGCCCCAAGGTCAGTCATTTCGCTCCGTCTTCTTTTTAGTAGTTCGTAATAAAGGCAGCAACCCTGACCAAAGTAATACTAGTTTATGTTTTCTTGATCTTCGTTGCATGTTCTTTACGGCGACTAAGGCTCCTACCCAGTAAAAACCTCTACTGGTGCCTCCTCTTCACACACCATTAATTCGTTGCTGTGGGTATCTATATTATGGCAGTCTTGAGCTTATGTGCCATTGACCTAAGAGAAAAGCGCCCCAAGGTCAGACATTTCTCTCCGTCTTCTTATTAGTAGTTCGTAATAAAGGCAGCAACCCTGACCCAAGTAATACTAGTTTATGTTTTCTTGATCTTCGTTGCATGTTCTTTACGGCGACTAAGGCTCCTACCCAGTAAAAACCTCTACTGGTGCCTCCTCTTCACACACCGTTACTTCGTTGCTGTCGGTATCTATATTATGGCAGTCTTAAGCTTATATGCCATTGATGTAAGAGAAAAGCGCCCCAAGGTCAGTCATTTCGCTCCGTCTTCTTATTAGTAGTTCGTAATAAAGGCAGCAACCCTGACCCAAGTAATACTAGTTTATGTTTTCTTGATCTTCGTTGCATGTTCTTTACGGCGACTAAGGCTCCTACCCAGTAAAAACCTCTACTGCTGCCTCCTCTTCACACACCATTACTTCGTTGCTGTGGGTATCTACATTATGGCAGTCTTAAGCTTATGTGCCATTGATGTAAGAGAAAAGCGCCCCAAGGTCAGTCATTTCGCTCCGTCTTATTATTAGTAGTCGTAATAAAGGCAGCAACCCTGACCCAAGCTGCTTCATCTCTTAGCATCAGGGAAACTATCATGTCAGGGGCTGCCAGTTCTTCCATGTCATTGAAGATGGATTCCCCATCGTCTGCATACAATGATGGTGTGCTCTGCGTCATCATTTCTGCCACAGTATACGCAGGTAGGTTCGTTCACTATTCCGATGCGTAGTGTAGTAGTAGTAGAGGTGGTGCGGCGCGAATCTTGACAAGCAAGCCACATTTGGCCCTTTTCGTCGACCTCGAGAGTACCAGTACTATACCTATCTATCGACCCTTCTTGATCCCCTAATAAAGATCAGGATATCCGACCATTCCGCTCAGTATGCGACTTCACTATCAAACTCCATGTCTCCGTACAGGTATATGAACTGTGGGATTTTGGAAGTGAATCGGGTGTCACAGAATCTTCGGCAAGTACTTTAGCACCCATGCTCCTAGGAACCAAAGAGTAGTAACTTTCTATGTTATTTTAGAACGTAGCTTCTGATCCAAAAATATTTTCACTATTTTTTGAATCATTCTGTATAGAGCAAGGAAAAACCATTTCATCGGTCACTGTTTTATAGTTGATGACCCTCGATCAGAGTAGCCATGTATGTCGGCCACTGTACCATGGCGGTGGTTTTTGCAAACAACTCGAGATGAACACATGCGAAAAGGATACATCTATGTGGAACACGTGAACCGTTCGTTTGAAATGCAGCGCTGATTAATGCGAATGCAGTAGCTATTTACATATCATCAGAAGAAAGAATAAGAAGAAAGCCAGTCGTATCGCATCGGCTGTCATGTCCACTTTTGTACGTCGTTTCAAAGATACGGCACACGACGTAACCTATTACTAGAAGATATCTAATGGTACGGCTAGTTGTTTATCACGTCATTCAATCGTAAAGCTTGATCTGCTGCAATAAACAAGACTTGTCGTGGAGAAGCTCCTAAATGTACATAAGAATGGACGTACCAGTCTAGGCTTGAATTTTTGATTTGGTTGCTAATATTTGGACATGCAAAATGATAATGACAGTATTAGTAGTACGAGTATTTTGTGAAATACGTGTAGGAATATGATCTAACTTTCTTCTATGAACGACAACCAGCAAAACTTAGCTTAAGCATACAATTTCATCAGAAAACTGTGACGTAGTAAGTCCCTGTATGAAGTTTATTACGTTGTGTCTCCAGAATATCACACTGCTACTTTCAGATGTGAGGAAATCAACTGTTTTTACTCACAAATATTTGAATTTGTTTAGAAGAAAAAACGTAGCTTTATTTTTCTCATAAAAATAACATTTATCTTTCGGAATAATTTGTGATTCATATCGGCAAGGTAAACACGTGTATTTTGCTATTAAGTGCTCTTTGAACCAACAGGTGTTTTGGGATAAACAATTAGAAATTCTCAAAAAACTACTTGATCAATATAGTCCAATTTTGTTGCTGTTATTTAGAAGTATGAATCCTACGGATTTGAATAATTTCAAGTAGTTGCGTGATCGTCGCATTACCAACAAGTGCCAAAAGCTGCATTTTGCGCATAACATTTTTGCCATTGGTCTATTTTGCGGATTGGTCTCATTTTGTGAGTCTCATAAATACCTGAAAATCTTATATGAAAAGTTTTTTCGTTCCTGTCAACACTTTCGATTGAATTCCAAAAAACACGTTTTATCATTCTTTGTTGTCAAATAAAAAATTTTCCCACAAAAATTGGTGTACCCATTTTATGCGTCCATCTTTTAAATACCCCCTTGAACACCTTGCACCAATAAAACCAGACTTTACGATTACTTGGGGGAAATTTGCCAATATGATTAGACTAAATAGTGAAAATGAAAAAACCCTAAGTGAATAATGAATGAGTGTTAGCCACATAACTGACACTGCTGTTACGCCCTTTACCCATGTTTGAATATTATGAATTTTTGTTTTGATTGTATTTATTTATATTTATCTCATTATTTTGACAGGTTCAAAATCTCGTGCCTCTTGATGAATTCGTTTATTGCAAAACAAAAATGATTTCATAGCATCTTCTATCTTCTCGGATACTATCACGTAGCGCTAGCACCATTCTGTGATGCAGATATTTCGACGACCTTATCTGAAAGTGTTGTCGGACGTAGCGGAAATCATCAGATATGCTATATTTCAAAGTCTAATGAAATTAAGCGTGATAAGTGTATCATAGTAGTGAAAAAAATCTATACATACTTCGGTGGAAAATGCCAGTAATGGTATACTGCTTCCACTAACGTATGTAATCTACTATTCAATGACGTTGATAGTTTGGCATGGAGCGTTTGATCACGTTCTGCCGGTATCTGGATAGAGAATCAAATCCTAGTGGGTGACTCTTTCGATGGAAGATTCAGAGGTGTTCTCTTCCACTGTACAGTTTCGAATACGTTTTTACACGTGCTAGGAGCGAAAAACGAAAATAAACTGAATCATGTTTGAAAAAAGATTCAAACAAACTGGTTCGTCCATGAGTGCTGCAAATTAAGTGATGAGACAATTTTATATTGTCACCTTCAAAAGAACTTCCTTCCTTCCGAGAAGACAAATGACTCGAGCGAGTTCAAACTTGTACTGAAAGCGGTTCACATGTTCCCTGTCTCATCAGTTAATGTACAGACCTGGCATGATGAGAATACCTGCTAAGGTTGAGGGCTGCGTGGCACGAAGTAAGATTTGTTATGAAACTGGGTTTCAAAGTCTACAACAACTGCCAACATTGCTTGAGTTAGTGAGGTTATGTTAAATGCCAAAGGATGTTGTCACATCTACACCGCTTTTCTCAGCTCCAGGGAGGACTTAGAAACCTATCCAGAGGGTTGGTCGTAGCATTCATTGTCAGGAAGATGTCCGTCTTCGGGATAAGAACGGGGGGAAAGGTGATCGGCGATTAAACATTGAACAAGGGGGTTGGAGAATTAATGTTTGACCACTTAAGAGGCGTTTCAGCGTTTTTGAAAGCAAATGCTCTTATAACAATTGAAGAGCGCGGGATGGGATACGTCTAGGAAAGGAGCGCACATCTCACAATCTAGGTCTAGCAAGGTGATTTTTACACCAAAATACAGCAATATTTCTTGAAAAAAAAATGCTTACTTGGGCATCTAGTAGGGGACATAGCCACTAACTGCCATGCCTAGCTAAGCATTCGGAAACCCACCAGCCCAATGCTTGTCAAATGTGAACATTTTTTGTAAGCTCAATCGTAACGAATCATCCGTTTTATGATGTTACCAATTTTGCTGGGATTTCTGAGCATTTTTTTAACCCAGTGGAATCGAGCTTGAAAAAATTATGAAGCCGTGAAATTGTATTTAAATGTCTATTTCGCTTTTGAGACAGCGTTAAAAAATTAACACCATTTGGTGCCGCGTGGCAGGGAGTTCATTGTATTGTTATACAGGGCGCTCAGTATTTAAGGAACATTTGTAGAGGCGTCCTTACGGGTCTTGTTTTTTCGTAGAGAAGCTTTTCAGCATTTTGCATAGAAACCCATTACATTAAATTCTTGTATTCGAGAAATTTTCCACTACCCTGAGATGAAGAAACAGACATTCTCCAAGCTAATTACCATTAACAGCGTTTTTTTTCTTTTGAATGTCGATTACTTGATAACACATGCGTTCTGAGACAATCTTGAACATTCTCAAACTTACTTTCTATCCGACTGGAGATGCTGTTACATTGTAATTACTTTATAGACTCGACATATTTTTATTGCGATTTTGCTATAATTATTAAATAGCTGTTCCACATCGATGTATCCTTCTCGCATGTGCTGATCTCGAAGTGTTTGCAGAAAATCACAGTTAGACCGCAACATTCGACATACATAGATACGGGCACGAGTGTTAGAAAACGCACTCTCGATGTATACGGTGTCTTCAATTAACTTACTTTTGATAATTAGCCAATCGTAGGGAGAGTTACACAACATATCATGCTGCACACACACCGCACCTCGTCATGAATATGTCTGCTAAGTTCAGAACTGCGTAAAAATGATAAACTCATCGCCTTGCTAATTGAGGAACAATTATTGGATGTACAGTGGCGGAGAAACAAAAATATTAACGTAAGTAGCACCGCGTTCGGAGAATTACACAAAGATAGCAACTGAAGTGCGTATTTCCTAGTGGAATCATATTCGATGGCTCCTCTCGATTATTGTTGGAAAACATTAAACATAGGACATGCTTGACTATGAGAAGGACGTTACTGTGACTGATAACTTTCATGTCAGATTTGCAGGCAGCTGAGGTTGTCAATATATTCAACTTCTATGGGATGCATCACGTGGTCAAAGCTAACACAAGGAGGTCTAATTGTATAATAATAATAATAATAATAATAATATTTATTCACTCAATGTACAAAGATAACAAACAATATGAGTAAATAAATATAAAATCAAGACAGTCCCAATAGAAGGCATCGCCTGTACATGGACCAATAATTTAAGTTGAAACTGTAGAATGCAAATGACAAAAAAGGAGAAAAATTAGCTACAGTAGATTATGTATTTAGTTGATGTTCGTATTTATGAGTTTATGAATTTCAGTCCTAGGTATAGAATGTAGCCATTTTTTTAAATTTCTTTTGAAACAATTTCCGAAACGTAAATCTTTTAAGTCTTTAGGTATAATTTCATAAAATTTAGGCGCTAAATAGAGATATGATCGCTGCATTATAGATTTATGCGGTTGAGGAACTACTGTGCCACGAATTTTGTACCTTGTATAATGATTCATGTATGTTTAATTTTTTGGTCGGTGTTTACAAATTTATGGTAGTGAGTGATACTGTGTAAGAAATAAAGCTGTCTTAAATCATACATTCGAACATCTGCGTATAATTTTTCAGTGGGATAAAGTTTCGGTTTTTTAAATATCATTTTTAGAATACTTTTTTGAAAAACATCTAAATTATAGATATGTGAGGAACATGCAGCTTTCCATGCTAATATACCATATGTGAGATGAAGCTCAATCAGTGCATGGTATAATGTTCGAAGATATTTTTCTGTCAGTATATTCCCAAAGTATTTAATTTTGTAGGATACAAATCTAACTTTCTTTAAAATATAATTGACATGGATGTCCCATCGTAAGTGAGGATCCAAGACCACTCCAAGGTATTTTATGTTGGGCACTCTACTAATTTGCATTTTTTGATCATTAATGTTGAAGGAGAAATTTGTGTAACTTGGCAGATGTTTAGCATAAGATTCAAATGGCAAAAAATGAGTTTTAGAATAGTTAATGCTTAATTTTCTACTGTTAAACCACCGAATAATTTTGATAAAATCATTTTCAATTACATTTTTCAGATCAGACGAGTCAGTGCCTTCATATAATATTGCAGTATCATCTGTAAAACTAGTTATTTTGCCAACACAATTAATTTGGAAAATATCATTTAAATATATATTGAATAACAGCGGACCTAAGACAGTTCATTGTGGGACCCCATACTTAATATACATTTCTTTGCTAAATGATCCCGATATCTGCACAGATTGTGGCCGATTTGACAAATAATATTTCGATCAGTGAGTACGCGTTTCCTCTGAAACCAATTCTCTCCAATGCTTCTAATAATAATTTGTGATTAACTGTGTCGAACGCTTTCTTTAAATCAACAAAAATGCAGATTGAAGGGATTCTGTTATCAATATTTTGATGTATTTGATTTACAATTTTAGTTATTGCGTCCGATGTAGCCTTCCCTTCTGTAAATCCATATTGATTTTCACTTAAAATTTTGAATTTTGTGAGGTATCGAATCATTCTAGTAGATAAAACTTTTTCAAAAACCTTTGCTACACTGGATATTATTGATATTGGTCTATAGTTGTTAACATCTGTTTTTGTTCCTGATTTATGTATCGGTATTATATTACCTTTTTTTAAAATTGAGGGATATATGCCAGATTCAAAGCATTTGTTGATTAGGTAAGTGAGTGGTTCTGTTATGTCCTCGGCTATAATTTTCAAATGGTCTCTTTTAATACCATCGAAGCCAGGACTTTTTCGATTTTTCAAGGACATAACAGTGGTGTATACTTCACATTGCTCGACTTTATCCAAAATAAATGAGTTCAAAGTTATTTTTGGAGGCTTAGTATTTTGTACGTTTGCTTGTTATCACTTGCTAAATTTTCGCCTATGTGAATTGTACAAATTCATCGCATATCTGTTGAGTATTTTTTAATACTATTCCCGATGTTGTATTTAACTCAGTGACACACTCTTTAAAGTTTGTTTTCCCAGTAATCTCATCAATAGTTGTCCAAAGCCGCTTAGGATCATTTAAGTTATTATTCAATTTATTTAGGTAATGTTTTCGTTTGGTTTGCCTTGCAAGCTCTATAAATTTATTTTTATATTGGTTGTAGCAGTCGGTATTCTCTGTAGTTGGCGTTAGTTTCATTACATTATATAGTCTTTCTTTTTCTATTGCCGATGTTATTAATCCTTTGGTAATCCAGTATAGACAACATCTTTACTACAATCCGTAGTAGCAGACTTCATAAACTCGACATGTTTGATACCTTTTTTGCAGACCATATGGGAGTTGAGTTCTCTTTTGTGCATCCCCAAAGGCAAAGTAATTTTAGACGAGTCACCTGTCGACCCATCCCGGAAGTCGGTCTCTTCATGATCTGATAGTTTGGAAAGTTTTGAATGGCAGTTTGTTAATGTATGACTTAAATGTTGAGTTGAAATTTTAGAACGGAACGTAATCAATACAAGTTCCACTTTGAATGCAAGCGGTTTTAATCTGTTTTTCACAAACGTAGGACAGAACCTACAACGAGAGCTTCCTAAAGAGACTAGCTCCCCGCTAAATTTTATGAATACTCCGGATAATATATCTCCGTTTCCATTTAGGCAAGTTTCGTACAACAAAGTCAGAGACGCGGTCAATTTGATAAAAACCTCTAAGAGCGCTTATACAGGGTGGGCCAATTAAAGTGGAAGCATGTGTTTATAAAACAGTAGATTAAAAAAATAGTTTTTTGTTGTTTATTTGAAAAGTCTTTCATTTTGATCCAAGGTGATTCGTTGTAATTATTTTTAAAAAATGATATCGCGCAAATGGCCACCTCTGGCCTTGATAACCAGATGTGCCTTTATTTCGGCGTTTTCCATTACGTTGGCCAATGTTTCGGCGGATATGGCGCCAATTTCTTGATGCTATTTAGCCACAGGAAGAAAATACTAAGATTGAAAGTTTTCAACTTTAATTTCTCCTCATACCGGAGACCAATAATAATACTATAAATGTGTCTCATATAGTATATTTCATACATATTACGATCCTCTGCCTGACCGTTTGGAATCTTCTATTTTCTTCTTATATCTTCTAAAACAACCGCGGGTGCTATTTACTTTAGTTTTCACACACTGCTTTTTAGTATTTGTTCAATGTCTTGTACTTTTTTAATAAAACCAAATAAGCCGCATCTTTCTTATTTAGATCCTTGTAATAACTACTTTTAGTTTTCCGTAAACAAGGATAACTTTTGTAAAGTCGAATAAAACCCGTCAGAAAGGCTTTTGAAAAGTGTCTTACATCAGACATTGTCAAAGCGAAAACAAACTGATAATAAACACGCGAGAAATCTTGTTTACAAATTCGTGTTTGCGGGTTGACGAATTCCGAGTAGTCTTGAAAACTTGTGTGACGCACATGTTTGCGGTTTTTTGTACCACAGACCGTCAACAATCAACGCGCAAACGTGGTTGACATACGTGTTTGACGCACATGGTTGCTAATTTGTGGGCACCTTTAGGCTTTAATACTAGGACACATCCCACAACACGTCGGTCACATTTCCTGTGAATGTTTGGGATGGCATGGTAAATGGTCTAGTCATATTCTCCCGAATCCGCTGAACGGTTCAGAATACCTAGACTTTTTACGAAACATTCTACCAACACTGCTAGAAGATGTGCTTTTGGGTATAAGACAATACAAGTAACAACTAGTAAAAAGCAGATGGACATTTATGATGTATACGTTTGTATCATTTTAATCCTTTCCGAACAGAAAGCTCGACGTCTCTGTCAACGAATACTAATGATGCACCGCAACAAAAGTAAATTCAATGTCACATATTATCGCATTCATAAATGTATGTATACATATACAAGTATGGTAATTGAAAAACTGGACAGTTGAAGATGAATCATGCAGAGTGAGGTTTTTTTTGAACAATAAGTAAGTATGGAAAATGGATGACATGGTTTACACTGGACAACTTACTAATCTGCAATCAGATATCTGTTCTACATTGCCAGATTCGTACCATTTTTGTCTTGCTTATGAATTCCTCACTGTCCAGTTTTGAACTTTCCTAGCCTCTATGTATAGCTCCACGTTCCTCAGGTTATTTTATTTACGATGTGTTATGAAAATAAATGCGTATATTATTCGTAGGCGTACACTTTATTTCAGTTTGATTGTCTGAACAATCATAATTATACCCCGTAGCATGCTGAGATCTTGTCGCATGTTTGGTGTGTTGCTGGCATATAAAAAAACAGTCAACAAATGTCACTTGAAATGTATAGTTATTTGACTTTTTTTTACAGTTGCTATTTTTGTTTCTTGGATAAAATATCTACAGAACAATTACGGCAAGTGGCATATGAAAGTAGTGATGTTTTTAGATTAAATCTGAAAATACATATTGACAATTGTTACCGGCAACGATAATCTTAGATACATCTAAAGCATCTGCTTTGTTTAGATTATGTTAAGTATTGAGTGAGACACAGAACGCTGAAAGCATGATATAGTCCAGTAATTCCAACAACTTGAGTTATTCGCGTATGTTTCGGATTATAACACTACCTATGTTGGGCAGCATACTTAATAAAATTTATCTTACTATCTTTTTTTCTATCAAATGGTTCTGGCTTGTAATGTTTTGTACTATTTCTTCTTCAGTAATTTGTTCA